TATTTGTAATTAATATATAACTCTCTGGATTTTATTTATATACCTTTTCTTTTCCAGAGGACACAGCATTTATATACTGTAGAACGCAAAATTTAAGAATCTTGAAAATGAACAGAATCATTTTTTATGAAGACATAGCTCGTACGCTATAATTAAAACAGATTTTATCCATATTTTATTTGCAAATATGTATATGTCATCATCATTCTCAATATTTTCTTGTTTGTACTTTAGTTTTTGAAGTACAATAAATGAAATTTTAAGAGAATGAGTAATGTATATTAGACTCATCACACTCAGATGTATAACGATTAGTAAGTTTAAAGAATTAAAATATATTGTTGACACATTTGACTGTCGTTTTTATTATAAGCCGATAGGCTACAGTGAAATGTCATTAATCGACATTTTAAATAGATATATAGTACATTCTAGGGTGAGTGACGCCAGATGGATGTTGGTTTGGGTATGTGTTATAAGTAAAGGAAATATCCTACATTTACGCCAATCTACTCTCATCATAGTTTGAAAATATTTGAGATAATAAGCATTTGTTCGATTAAAACTTATACTCGATAATACAAAAAAAAATGAGTATTTGTTTTATAAGCTTTGAGAAGTAAAGAAATTCGAATTCAGCAACTAGAAATTTGAATAAAACGTTCAAAATGGCATATTCTTCGAAGTAAAAAAATTAAACTTGTCCAATGACTCTGTTTTGCTCAATGAGTCTAGCCAACTTGAAAGCGAATCGGACAATAACTATCTGCAAAGAAATCGAAATATAGTATTAATAGAAATAAAAGACAGTGAATACTTACTGTCAAAATGAAAAAACCAAGACACGGAATAAAAAGTTTGAATATAATTTCTAAAAATCTAGCCATCGTGCTTTTTCCGTTCAACGCAACGTCTATAACGAGCACACTTCGTACAGTATCCGGGATAAGCCATGCAAGCCCGATTCCTATCAAACCAACCATGATTATACTCAACCAAGCGAACTAAAGGCGAAAAACAAAGATCAGTTTTAATTCGAACATTTCATGTTTTTTTTTAATTTTGTGTGACTATTTACTATAATTTTGATATATATATATGTCTTTACTATAAAAACAAGAGTTAAGTTTTACCAATAAAGTCTAAGTTTTAGATGTTTTTTGAAATAAAAAATAAGATTTATTGTTTCGAAATTGATCAGTAAAATCTTATCAAAACAAACCGTATTCAGTTTTATGTCAAATGTCTTTTTTATATAATTTGTATCGGAAAAAGTCAAATAATATTACATACCACGCGTAAGCCGGTTTCCGAATATCTATAGCTGACCAATAATCCAAAGCCATAAAAAGCAATAAACACAATAGAAATAACAACTTCTGTATTTTTTTGTAAATTTTCTTCATAGTTGGCGATTTCAGCCAATGTGCTGATCACAAAAATACCCTGCAAAAATTATTATTCAGAATTAGTAAAAAATCAAACACTTCGAATATACAGTCAACGTCAAATGATTCTACAAGAAGAAGAATATTTATAGTCGGAAATGACAAAATCTTGAAAAGATTAGTTTTTTTTAGATCTCGATCTAGATTCTCAAAACTCTTAATAAAGTTTCCTGATGTATATACTGGAATGCTACTCCCAGATGCAATTAGTTCTGTCAGCTATTTATTTTGTTGACCATTAACACGATTTTCTCTCAAAGATCATTCAGATTATGTATAAAATAGATTAATTTTCATTCTTATTTAGAATAATGTGGATTAGTTCATGTTAAATTATAAGTGTCCGTCTCATGATAATAATCAAAAATCTAATTCATTTCTATGCTGAAAAATTGTGTCTTGGTGAAAGTATTCAAAAAAGAAATTTTCCGAACTTTTTGTTTTATCAAAATAAGATGAGTTAGTATTTTTCGATCAATGATTAAGTTTTATACATTTCCAGAATCTCGAATAAAAATATTCAGTTTTAATTGAATACAATTTTATCTGTTTAGTCGAATGTTTTTATTGAAATAGTTTCGAAATATCACAAAGCTTTAAAAAAGTTTTATTATTTTTCTTAATAACTTTTAGACCATAGAAGCTTATATAAATTTTAAATGAAATAGAAATTTATGATTTAGAGATCGTTTCATCGTCACTTTTATATTATTAATAAAAAACAATAATAAAAACTTACAAGACAAATACCAAGCACACTGAGGAGAACTATACGAGGTCTTTGTACTTTAAGATCTTTAACTAGCGCCAATGATCTCGTAGTAGGATTATCAGGATTATTGAACATAACCATGTTTTCGGTTCCTAATTCGTGTTGCATTTGAGTGAAATATGCAAGTATTTAAATGTTTGAACAAATGCACGAGAATACAGTTCCAAATAAAATACGAGTAATAACTGAAATAATAAAAAAGAAAAATTAAGAAGATGATGCAAGTCATCTTTTTGTAGGAAGTAAACGAGAATATAAAGAAAAAGAAAAAGAAAAAGAAAAAGAAGGAAGATGATGTAAACAGGGTTGCCATTTCTTCCGGATTTTCAGATTTCTTCCGGATTTTCAGATTTTTTCCGGATTTCTGGGGGGATATCCGGATTTTGAAAGTTTACCTGTTTTTTTCCGGTTTAGGATATTTTTCATTTAAAAAATTGCATTTTAGCTATTCATATATATTTTTATTTATATTTTAGAAACTTTTATTGATTTAATGGTGGTTTTGTGCTTCCTTCTATTAGTCTTTAGACGACTAATTGTCTTTTCCGTCCTAGTCTATACTTTTTCTTATGTAATCTATTAACAATAGTAAAAAAAGTCGCTTCTATTTTAATGTTATCCTTCTTTTTCAAATTCAGAATGTCTGATCAAAGGAATAGAATGTCAACAGATCTTATTGCGGCTGAGTTGAAAATTCGTTTAAATGCACCTATATCTTGTACACAAGTTTATGACTTTTTTCTATCGAAACCGGATCTGTTAAAACTTATTCACTCTAGTGAAAAATATTGTATTAGAAAAACAACGTATTATCTAACATGTAAATGTATAGTTTATGGTTTATTATTTATTAAGTTCACTATGTTCTGACATTTTTTTCATTGAAATATATATTTTTTGGAGATTTAGAACAAGACCATTGATATTTTGATTGAGAAACTGAAGTTTAATAAACTAAAATGGTCTCTAAAAATCTTTTCGGATTTTTTCCGGATTTTGAGAAAAAATTTCCGGATTTTCAACTATAGCATCTGGCAACCCTGGATGTAAATCTTGAGAGTGAGTGTGGTTATCGTTGTCGATTCATCTTTTCTTTACTCACATCCACACTTTTATTCGACATATACATATCTTTATATATCAGGGGGCGTACGAGTAAAAAATGAACAAAAGAAATATATGATAGATTAATCAACAATGCACAATCATTGTAAAGAAAAATTGATATTAAATAAATCATGATATTTTCATATATAAATACTCTTTTATATTACATTTAGCATGAACAGGAAATGCCACAACGACAAACAAAACGTGTTATAATTAGAATGAATAAGAAATATCACGTTGAATCTCTTAGGGAAAAAAAAAGAGTATTACTTATAAAAACTGATCTGTTTAAAATTATGCTTTATAAATATTTAAGATATTCTGAAACATTATTTTCGGAGTATAATATGATATTTGTAATTAATATATAACTCTCTGGATTTTATTTGTATCGTTTTTCTTTTCCAGACGACATAGCATTTATATACTGTAGAACGCAAAATTTGAGAATCTCAAAAATAAACAGAATCATGTTTTATGAAGACATAGCTCGTATGCTATAATTAAAACAGATTTTATACATATTTTGTTTGCAAATATGTATATGTCATCATCATTGCCAATATATATAGTTTTTTGTTTGTGCTTTATAGTTTCTAAACTAGACTGACTGATATTTTAAGAGTATGAGTGATGTATACTAGACTCACCACACTCAGATGTATAACGATTAGTAAGTTTAAAGAATTAAAATATATTGTTGGCTCATTTGATTGTGTTTTTTATTATAACTCGATAGGCTAAAGTAAAATGTCATTAATCGACATTTTAAATAGATATATAGTACATTCTAGGGTGGATGAGAACGGATAAATACTGGTTTGAGTCTGTGTTATAAGTAAAGAAAATATTCTACATTTACGCCAATCTACTCTCATTATAGTTTGAAAATATTTGAGATAATAAGCATTTATTCGATTGAAAATTACACTTGACAATACCAAAAAAAAATGAAGATTTATTTTATACACTTTAAGAAGCAAAGAAATTGGAATTCAGTAACTAGATATTAAACAAAACATTCAGAACGACATATTTTTCCAAGAAAAAAAATTAGATTTGTACAGTGACTTGATTTTCCTTGATGAGTCTGGCGAACTTGACAGCGAACTTGACAATAATTATCTGCAAAGGAATCGAAATTTAGTATTAATAGAAAGAAAAGACACCGGATACTTACTTGCAAAATGAAAAAACTAGTATATACAATCAAATAAATGATCATATATACTAAAAGTTTAACCATCATGTTTTTTATGTTAGTCTTGGCAGCAGAATGTAGAGCAGTTGAGTTGTTATTAACTGAGTCTATAGCACTGAAAGCAGCACCTGCAACGGTTAAATCTACTACAAACCTCCGGAAAATCAATTCAAGTCCAATACCCATAAAAATGACCGTGACCGCACCCAGACAAGCGAACTACAGGCGAAAAACAAAGATCAGTTTTAATTCGAATATTTCATTTTTTTTAATTTTGAGTAACTATTTACTAAAGTTTTGATATATATATATATATATATCTGTACTATAGAAACAAAAGTTAAGTTTTAGCAATAAAATCGAAGTTCTAAAGTTTTCTCGAAATGAAAAATAACATTCACTTTCTCAAAACAAACCGTATTAAGTTTTATGTTGAATATTTTTTATAGAATTTGTATCGGGAAAAAAATCAAATAATATTACATACCACACGTAAGCCTGTTTCCGAATATCTATAGCTGACCAACAACCCAAAGCCATAGAAAGCAATTGGTACAATAGAACCAACAACACTTGTATTTGTTTGTGAATTTCCTGTATTTTTTAAGACTTGAACAAATGTGTAGGCCAAAGAAATACCCTGCAAAATTTATTATTCAAAATCAGTAAAAAATCAAATGCTTCGAATATACAATCAATGTCAAATGATTCTACAAGAAGAAAAATATTCAGTTTTAATTGAATACAATTTTATCTGTTTGGTCGAATGTTTTCAGTGAAATAATTTTAAAATATTATAAGATTTAAAAAAAGTTTCATTATTTTTCTTAATAACTTTTAGATCATAGAAACTTATATAAATTTTAAATGAAATAGAAATGTATGATTTACAGAGTGCTCATCATCACTTTAGTATTATTAATAAAAAAAAGTAATAAAAACTTACAAGAGAGATACCAAGCATAATGAGGAGAACTTTACGAGATCGTTGTAATTGAGGATCATTATCTGGCGCTAATCGTCTCGTAGTATGGGTATCAAGATTATTGAACATAACCATGTTTTCGGTTCCTAGTTTGTGTTGCATTTGAGTAATGTATAAGTATTTAAATGTTTGAATAAACACACGAGAATACAGTTCCAAATAGAACAGAAGTAATAACTGAAATAATAAAAAAGAAAAGTTAAGAAGATGATGCAAGTCATCTTTTTATAGGAATAGGAAGTAAACGAAAATGTAAGGGAAAAGAAAAACAAAGAAGATGGTATAAATCTTGAGAGTGAGTGTGGTTGTCGTTATGAATTCATCTTCTTGTTACTCGCATCCACACTTTTATTCGACATATACATATCTATATATATATATCAGGAGCACATGAGTAAAAAAATGAACAAAAGAAATATGTGATAGGTTAATCAAAAAATCTACAATCATTGTAAAGAAAAATTGATATTAAATAAACTATGATATTGGATATACAAATAGTCTTTTATATTGTATCTAGCATGAACAGGAAGTGCCACAATGACAAACAAAATGTGTTATAATTATAATGAGCAGGAAGTGTCAAATTAACAAACAAAACGCGTTATGATCAGAATGCACAAGAAATAACACGTTGATTCTCTTGAAAAAAAAGAATACTATTTATAAAAACTGATTTGTTTAAAATTATGTTTTATTAATATTCAAGATATTCTAAAACATTATCCTTGGAGTGAATATAATATTTGTAATTAATATATAACTCTCTGAATTTTATTTACACAGCTTTTTTCTTTCAGTTGAAGTAACATTTACATACTCTACAACGTAAAACTCGAGAATCTCTAAAATAAACCATCTTGAGGGTGTGAGTATTGGTGGACGCGTGGTGAATGTGAAGATTTGATTGCACCTTCTTTTCACCTTTACTCATATATCCACATCCACATCCGAGTTACGTGGTAATTATTGTTCCAATCCGTATTTGTGTTCTCTTTAAGAATATCTTCTTTACATTTTGTCGATATGCTGAAGATAAAAGATAATAAATGTAGAAACTAGTGCAGACAGGTGTAAGACCAAGAACATAACTTATAGCTGAAAAGAGTCCTTCAATCGCTTGACTCATATCACTTTTTATATCGTTTGCTGTTACAGTTGAATAAATAAGCCTGACGCATGGAGAAATAGTCGCCAAAGAGAAGAATAGAATCTGTAAAATTAGGATTATCGAAAATTGTCTGTCGATATTTTGTTTCTTGATGTTCATCTTCTGCGTCTGACGTTGATCTACAGAAATATGAGCGTTATTGCCATCATTTTTTATAGCAGAGATCTTAGTAACGGTGAATACGGATGTTGTAACATTTGTAGCGGCTCTTGTATTACGAGGGTTCACTTGATGCATACTTTTCAGATTTCGATAGGTAAGAACACCAAAAATCGTCAAAACAATAATAGGTAGGAATGCGGATATAATGAAACCAATGAAATATGTAAAATAAAAATTGTAAATTACAGACACATTAATACACATTGGTTCATCAAAACTATTATCGATATACCAATACATTAAGTCAGGTATCGACACTAGAAGAGACACAAAGATTGCAATTAAAATTGAAATTTTAGCTATTTTCATTGAACTTCGTTCCCGACGTGAGGCAATGCGACTAGTAGAGTGATATCGATCAATAGATGCTAGACATAATGCTATAACCATGAAGGTATAAAAAGTATCACCTAGATAATACATCAGTTTACACCACCATAGATAACTTTCTGTACCATTTTTACCATTGATTAAACCGACAACAGTTGGTAGAAGATATATTAGAATTGCCAAACAATTACTTATTTCTGTTGTCAAAAAATAGATAGAACATGGATTAGTTCTATAATTTTTTGATGAAAATATTATAATATTGATAGAGTTACCAAAGAAACCAGTAATAATTATACAAAGATGACCATATAGTAACACTTGAGTAGAAGCGAAATTGATGGTATCCACAGTAACAGATGACATATTTGAAAACAGAAAGTGAAATAATGTCACTAACTTTTATTAATATAACAGTTTATATGAGTGAGAAATGTTTGTCTATTTCCGTCAAGTATAATTTAGCTGATATAAGAATTCATCTCTGATTGATGTACTAGAAAAAGTGTTTTATCTTTGATCTTAATTAAGAGAACTCGTAGGTAGATATACAATTATAGTTCTTTCCCTTGTGTCTTCTTTTTTATCAGCAGGAAAAAGAAGTTTTAACAAATCAAAAACAAGAAAATATTATTCATAGACAATAAAATAAATAGATGAGAAGCTTGCCGATCCCTTTGAAGAGAAACAGGCACTCTCTATCTTTTTAAGGAAAAACTGATCACCGAATCGAGCATTTTCTATTAGATTGTCATGCACACGATGTTACTATATCTTTTTGGTTATATCAAAAAATTAATTTTTTTCAATACGCCTCAATAAACTCCTAAAAGTTTTTTATGTTGAGTAGAGATTCACAAAATAATTAACAAATATTATATACGTCAAAATTGAAACGTTAGAATAAATTATGCTATTTATAAGTATACGGAAAGCTATGCATAAATTGTGATTTTCATATTTTTGTAGAATTTCTAACAAAAGATCTGAAATAGTCTTTGACGTTACTCTCAACAGTACATCGAAGGTCAAATGATAAGTACTTATGTTATAGACATCACAAACTACTTCAATTTCTAATCCAAATTGAGAATATAATAATAAAATTTGAGGATAGGTACGTAACGTATTCTTTATACATAACGATCAACTGCTCCTTTTGCATTGAATCAACACAATGACATCACTTGTTGAAAAAATTCTATAAGATATATTTTAGGAGGTTTTTGTCAATAGCCTATTTGTTTATCGTAGTCACATCGTTTTTTCTTCATAATAGCCTCACATAAATCAAGGTTAATGAGTATTGGTTACCATTAAGGGAAAAATTTAGGTTTTATCAACCGCACATTTATTATGTTATAATTCTTATTTTGATCAAATCAAAAACAACCTCTCCGTTTCATTTATTTGCACCACCTGTGTACAAAAAAAAAAGATGAATATTTTTATGTTATATGCATACAAAAATAGAAATTTAGAACATAAAAGAAAAACAGAAAAAAAAACAAAATCGATCTATACTGACACAGAACGAAAGAATCATAATACAAAATAGTTATTCATGTGCGCTAATCGTTGTTTTTTTACATTTTTATTATATCGTAAAATACGTCTTTGAGTCTTACGTACTCATCAACCATATCGATACTTTGTACTTGCAAATAATAATGGATAATCCTCCACCTCCTGATCGTCAAATAAATTCAATTCCATATCCTCGAACAAGTTTATTAACTGAAGAGAGATTATTTGATCCATCAACTGGTTTACCATCTATTAGCCGTTTAACAAAACATTTACAAGATGAAGGTCGTCTTGATGAAAGATGTGCTTTACGTCTTGTTGAACTTGCTCGAAATATCTTCGAACGTGAACCAAATATATTAGTTGTTCAACGACCAGTAACTATTGTTGCTGATATACATGGACAATTTTATGATCTATTAACAATATTAGCAGCTGGTGGTGATCCAGCTAAAACTCGTTATTTATTCTTAGGTGATTATGTTGATCGAGGTCAATTTGAATGTGAATGTATATTTTTATTATTTGCACTCAAAATTAAATATCCCAATAATATTAATTTACTTCGTGGGTATGTTATATTTTCCTAAGATTAATATATAAAATCATCTTTTTGTTTTATTTCTATCAAAGAAATCATGAAACTCGTCAAATGACAAAAGCATTTCAATTTAAATTAGAATGTGAAAAGAAATATTGTTCAAAAGCATTGTACAATGCTTGTATGAATGCTTTCGATGCATTACCTATATGTGCTCATGTTGATTCACGTTTTCTCTGTATGCATGCCGGTATATCACCTGATATTCAAACATTAGAAGACATTGCAAATCTTGATCGTTTTAAAGAAACGCCTCATTCAGGTCCATTATGTGATTTACTTTGGTCTGATCCAAGTGAAGATTTTGATACAGTTAGTGATGCACAACCAAATTTTAAAGCAAATAATGTTCGTGGTTGTTCCTATTTTTTTTCATATTATGCATGTCGAGATTTTCTTTTACGAAATAATCTCTTATCAATAATACGCGGACATGAAGTCCAAAAAGATGGTGTACGATGGTTTCGAAAATCATCTCGTACAAATTTTCCTGTTGTTATTTCACTTTTTTCAGCACCGAATTACTGTGATACATATAATAATGTTGCGGCTATACTTAAAATTAGTCCAGATCAAAAATTATCTGTTATACATATTCAACCACATGGGCATCCATTCGTTTTACCAAATTATGAAAATGGTAAAAAAATAAATGAAATATTTTTCTTTTTCAATGATTATTATTATTATTATTATAGGATTTCAATTGGGTGAACGATGTATTGTTTATTTTGCTACACAACTTCTTCTTTCGTTTCTTAATATGTATTCACCTGACGAATTAGCTGCAGATGATGGTCGTATGGACAAAACTGGTATGGAATTATTAAAGAAAAAGAAATTAATTGAATCAATGGAGCATGCATATAAGGAAGTGAAAAAAACAAATAATATTGCACTTAATTTACGTGGTCTTACACCATCTTATAAAGCTTATAAAGAATTATTAGCTCGACCAGATGTCAAGGCATTAGTTCATGAAGCTGAAAAAGGACGAATTAAAGATTATGATCAAGCTTTACAATTAGATCAAATATTTGAACGACGACCATCAACTTAATTATATTAATAAACAATATAAACATTCAATTACTTATTTTAACATATTTTTTATTAACCAATAAACTAATTTTAATTTAACAATAAAATAAAACAAAATAAAAATTTGATTGTTGTTGATTTCTCATGAGTAAAATATGAAATATCTGAAAGAAAAAAATAAATTGTTAAAGATATTTTGTAGAAATCTAATTAATTTTTTTTGTCTATCTTTAAAAAATAATAATCTAATTCTGATTGTTCAACTTGACTTGGTGCATGAGCCATAAGATCTCTTCCAATACTTGTTTTTGGAAAAGGTATAACATCTCGAATATGTTCAGTTTCAAGTACTAATGCAAGTAAACGATCTAAACCAAGTGCAATACCACCATGGGGTGGTGCACCATATTCAAGTGCTTTTAATAAATGTTCTAAATGTTCAATAGGTAAATGAAGAATATCATTAAGTATAAAACGTTGTAAATATGAATCATAAATTCTAATTGAACCACCACCAACTTCATAACCATTTAAAACAAGATCATAATGTTGACCGATTATAGTTGACCAATGTTTTT